ACAATTATAAAGCTAGGAAGCTCCTGAAACTGAAAAGATTTACAGGTCCCTCTCCACTGTTATAAAACTAATAACAGCTGCTGGGGAGAGAAGTCTCCCAACCTGCTCAGCTCCTCAAGTCCTACAGGGAGCTCCAGAGATGCAGCTTTTATAAGGTGCTGCCTACGGGGGTGGGCTTTTGGGTGATGCAGTTATCTTTGAGTCATTCATGTTCCTGTGAGTAACCCCAAAGAACTTACTGGTCCACTGACTTAAATTTGGGTGGAATTTCTTTAGTCTGTTATTGGTGCTTTATCTAGGGTGAATAGATGTTTGTTCATGTCCTCTCAGAAAAGTCACACAACAGATGGAGAGATGGAAGTAGAGGGAGTCATGGTGTGAAGGGAGAGAGAAGAGGAAGGGAATTTCTTTTGAACACACAGTTTTGCATATATTCTTATCTTAGCATACCCGAAACAGCAGCAAAGGAAAAAAAATCTATTTTTTTTCTGTTGGTCCTCATCCTAACTAGATATTCAGCATCTATATGTCAGTTGATATGAAGGTTATGCTAATTAAAATTGCCATCTAGAAATGTGGTGGTTTGAATGAAGAATGTCTCCCATAGGCTTCAAGTATTTGAGCACTCTGTCCTCAGTGGATGGTACTGTTTGTGGAGGTTTAGGTGTGACCTTGCTGGAGGAAGCATGTCAAGGAGGGCAGGTATGATGGTTTGAATGAGAATGTCCCCAAAATGCTCCAGGTATTTTGACATTTTTGTCCCCAGTGGGTGGCGCTGTTTTGGGAGGTCTCAAGGTGTGGCTATGCTGGAGGAAGCACGTCACTGGAGGGCAGGCTTAGAGTTCTTAAGCCTTGCCAGAGCTCAAGTTGCTCTCTTGCTTCCTGTGCCTGCCTGAAGATGTGAATGCTCTGCTTTCTACTCCTGTTCCAGCCACCTCTGCTGCCACGTCTCTCCGCCTTGACAGATTGCAATTCCCCTGAACTGTAAGCTCAAATAAATTTTTCTTTCTATAAGTTGCTTTGATCAGTGTTTCTATCACAGCAACAGAAAAGCGAGTAAATACAGTGGGTTCTGACAGGCCACAGCTTTATTCTACTTCCAGTCTCTCTGCTTCCTGTGTGTGCTTGATGATATAAGCTCTCAGTTTTCTGCTCCAGGTGCCTCTTGCCATGCCTACCCCATCATGATGGACTCTGATCCCTCTGGAACCATAAGATCAATAAACTCTTCCTTCTATAAGTTGCTTTGGTCATGGTATTTTATCCCAACAACAGAAAAGTAATTAACATTTAAGTTGGTACCAGAGAGTGGGCTGTTGCTATGAACATGCCCATGTTGTTTTCAGAGGAATGTGGAAGATTTGAAGTTTGGATTAGAAAAGCAGTTCAAGAGGGAAACAAGAACTTAAACTGCAACTGGGATATTTTGGCAAAGAATCTGGACACTGTCTGTCTATAGCCTAAGAACTTGCTTGAGGCTAAATTAAAATGAAATGGATTAATTTCTTTGGAAATTTCAAGACAGCCCAACAGTGAATCTGTATCATGATTATTAATGGTGAGTATTATGCAGATATTCACAGTGAAAAAGAACAAGTGGGGCAGAAAGAAATACAAAACGTGTAAGTCTGGAGAGAAAAAGGGCACTAGGGAGCTTAATGTTGCAGTCCAGGGTGTCCTAGAAGAGAGGTACCCATTGTTAAGGAAATGAGCACCATTTGTACTCAGCAATGAAAGGAGCGCCCTGAGGGCAAGACCTCACCCAGCTATTTGTCCTACTTGTGAAAGGAAAAGCCTAAGGAGCTTTCTGCTCCTAGAAAACTATACCATATAAAAAACTGTTGGTAATATGGATGAAGGGGGCCAAGATCCACCCAAGCTGAAAATGAAAGTTGGCAGTGTCGTTCACTTGCTGCTAACTTTAGAGGCATGAAAGACGCAAGAGTGAGGGGGTCACTGATTCTTCCTCTGTGGTTTCAGAGAGTCTCTGAGGCCAGGCGGCGTATTGCAGGGAAGTCCCTGCATAAAGCAGGCCCTGACAGGCCACTGTGTGAAGCTGTGAAGATGAAGCCTAGTTGGAAGTGAAGACCCTAAGAGGCTGGAGAAGCCAGAACTGTGAGACATTTGCCAAGGAGAGTTGTATATAGGAAGTGGTACCAGCCCAAGAAAAAATGTATGCTACAGGCAGCAAAGCTGGAGGGGCTGAGCCATGTAAGCCATTTAGAAGTCCAGTCCCATTTGGAGCATCAGACATGAAGTACAGGATTTGGTGTGTGCCTTGCTGGCTTTCAGTCTAATTTTGGTCTGGTATTTCCTCACTATGCTCCCCACCCCTCCCTTTTGGAATTGAAATGTATACTCTATGCCATTGTATATTGGAAGTAGATAATTTGCTTTTTGATTTTGCAGGGGTTTACAGTTAAGAGAATGCCTTGAGTCTCAGAAGAGACTGAGCTTTTGAACAGTGTTGAGACTATGAAAGACTATGGGGACTTTTAAAGACTATGGGGACTAAATGCATTTTACATTATGATATGGCATGCGCCTGTGGGGGCCAGGGAGTGCAACATGGTGGTTTGAATGAGAATGTCCCCCATGGGCTCCAAGTATCTGAGCACTCTATAGGCAGTGGATGGTGCTGTTTGTGGAGGTTAGGCAGTCATTCTTGCTGGAGAAAGGATGTTATTGGGAGCAGGCTTTGAGAGTTCCACAGCCTTGCCTCATTTCTGGTTTTTCTCTCTGCTTCCTGCCTGTGCTTGAAGATGCGAGTGCTCAGCTTTCTGCTCAAGCCACCTCTGCTGCCTCACCTCCCCATTGTGATGGACTCTTTTATCCATACTCTGGAACTGAAGTCCAAATAAACTTTCCTTCTGTAAGTTTCCCTGCTCATGGTGTTTTATCATAGCAACTGAAAAGTAACAAATATAGAAAGGTTGTATCAGAAATTTCAGTCATATGAACTATCTTTTCCATATATAACCTTGACCATGACTATTTACTTCTGAGAGACTACGGTAATAGTCAAGTAATTCTTAACTTGACTAAAACAGGCTTAGTTAATAAAGTACTAGAAAATAAGCCTAAAGTGTCTTTGCCACTTTTGTGGGATCCTAGGTGGCAGTTTTGTCAGATTTATACCGAGAAGCAATAGCACTGGCAAAAGTATTGGTTGTGGATATTAGACCATCCACTCAACTCAAAGCACTAAGCTTTTTGAAAGCTATGTTACACTTCCGAGTGCCCTGTCAAAAGTAGATAGCGATCACATCACAATGCTTCTGTGAATTTAAGAAAGCAAGGCAACAGCTCCTTCTTTCAGCTTGTCCGCCTCCCTTTCATATTTTACAGGTCAGTCCTGGGTATCTGGGGGCACTTCCCAAGCTTTTAAACCTGCACTTGACCTCTGAGATCTGGCCAGGTCTGACTACTCCCAGCAGTGATGTCATTATCTCAAAAGAAGGAAACAGTTCACTGAAATCAGTAGTTTTGATTTTTAAGATAAAATATCCACCCCAGCTTCAGACCCAATCTTCTCAAGTTTTTAGAGTGGAGATACATTCCAATGGTCTGTTTTTGGTGGTGGTGGTTTTAAGAAGTGGCCTCCCTATGTTGCCCAGTCTGGCCTTGAACTCACTCAAGTCACCTCCCCACCTTAGCCTTTGAGTGGCTGGGACTCCATGTGTGTCATAGCACTGTGTTCAATGTCCTGTTTTTTGTTTTGAGAGAAGAAGGAAATGAAAAAGTGAATCAAACAAAGAGAAGGACCATGTTCAGGGTGGAGTGGAGGGTTTGGTTGCACTCGGTGATGTGCGTTGCACTAGTCAGGCCTTCTGGGAGCATCACAACCTCAGGAGGAGAAAGGTAGAGCGTCAAGGTTTGAAGTCATGAAGGCAGATGTTGATGACCAGGAGCAGTTTCTTAAGATGTCTCCGAGTTATCTTAAACTCCCTATCGTTTTCAAAGAGCTTATTGTACTAGCACAAAAGGAGAATCCTTAGGTCTTTAACAAGGATAGAACATTCAAACAGGCTAAATTCCCTTAAATTTGTCTTTGAAGTAGGAAGGTGACCGCTGCAAAAAGTATTAAAGGAATAAAGATTTCCCACTACCTTCCTAGATGACGTGAATAGTCAAACACGTGAACTGCAGCCTGTGGTCTCATCAGTCAGAATTACCCTTTCCATGCCTGGACAAGGAGGATGCCACTCTTGTATAAAAGCAGGACTGGTTCATGTGAATGAAAACTCTAGGCTCTCCCACATTGGTTTCCATTAGAAACGCCAAACAAGAAAAAAAAAGTCCTGTTCCCGTGAACCTGAACACCAGTCCTCTCATTTTCTGAACTGCATGCCTGGTTACACACAATGCTGTGACCTGTATGTCTGGTAACCTTTGGTTACCTAGGAAAACTGCATGACTTCATTTTTTTTTTTTTTTTT